CAAAGTTGCTGTACAAGTTGGCACTCCCACCAGCAGTGGAGAAGTGTTTTCCTTTCTCCACACCCTCTCCAGTATAAACTGTCATTGGTGCTTTTGATTTTATCTGGCCAGCTTTTTCAACTTAAATTATCCTGTTTCTCTTTAAGTACATTTAGCTTCTGAGCTTTATTTTGGGGGGCGGGGTGTTGAGACAGGGTTTCTCTGTAGCTTTGGAGCTTGTCCTGAATTTGCTCTGTAGACCAGGCTGACCTTGAACTCACAGAGATCCACCTGTTTCTGCTTCCCAAGTGCTGGGATTAAAGGCATGTGCCATCATTGCTCTGCTACCTCTGGGCTTTTACCTTTCTTTATTCTACGTCTTTCTTCCCTTTTTGCTCCAATACTTGTTGGATGGCTGGATGGCTGGCCCCTGGCATTCTCCTCCTCTTCTTCTTTTCTCTCTCAAGCTAGTTTTTGTTTTTGTTTTTTCTTTCTCCTATTTATTCTCTCTGCCTGGCAGCCTTGCCTATCCCTCTCCTTTCCTAGTTATTGGCTGGTCAGCTCTTTATTAGACCAATCAGGTGTGTTAGACAAGCAAAGTAACACAGCTTCACAGAGTTAAATAAATGCAACATAAAAGAATACAACACATGGGAGGGAGAGAGAACTGTAGTTAGTATGTAAAATGAAAAAATCTTTTAAATAAATAAAAAATTTTAAAAAAGCATTTTTAAATAAAAAAAGAATGCAACACATCTTTGCATCATTAGGCAAATATTCTACAGCATAGACAAATATAATGTATCTTAAACTAATATTCCATAACACTACAACTACACCTTCTCATTGGCCTTTGATGCTATTGACTTTATTGTATGATTACAGGTTGATGACTGTGAAAGGAAGAAAATGAAAGATTATGAAAGTCAAAGTAATTCTGTCTTTAGGAGATACCTAAATAAGATTTTAATTGAAGCCGGCAAGCTTGGACTTGTAAGTATTTGATAACATGATACTAATCATTGTAGATACTTTCATTATTTGTTTCATATAGTATAAGAAATTGTGCTATGCATGTGACACACATCTGTCATCTTAGCATTCAGGAGGTTGAGGCAGGAAAATTTCCGGTTCTGGTTCAGCCTGTATCCAAAGTAAATAAATAAATAAATAAATAAATAAATAAATAAAGCTTTATTGTGCTTTAACAGAAAATAACCTGCTCCACCCTTTCCCCAAAAGCTGTTTATCTTTATTGTGCTTTAACAGAAAATAACCTGCTCCACCCTTTCCCCAAAAGTTGTTTATACAAGACAATAGGGACCATTCAGCACCACAGTGGTGCTGTGGAAGGTGAGCAGTACAGACCACGATGCTTTCCCTAAGATCTCTTAGGATTAGCCCCATCAATTCCACTGTTGTTCTGCCAGGGAGATAGTCCCATCCTAACCTTTCTTCTCATTTTCCCATTCTCATACTTTGATAAAATATAAAATTATCATTGAGGACAAGAAAAATGTGTTTTAAGTAATCATTCTCTTTGCTGTTTATGGTGGTAGGTCCTACTTTGTGGAATTGTGTATCATGCACATATGTTACTTATGATGGTGAGAGTTCCTTGTATTATTTTGCAGTGTTGGAGAGTAAACCCTTGTACATGCTGGGCCATAGCATTACCATTGGGCAGTAGCCCCAGCTCCATTCTTCCAGATTTTTCTTAGTATAACAAAATACCTGAGATAATGAAGAAAGGGCCCTTGGTTGATATTGTTTGCCTCGCTTGTACAATGCCTTTGGGGTCCATGCCTAGCACCCCATAAACCAGGCATGGTGTGCATGTCTGCAATCCCCAAATTCAGGAGGTAAAAGCAAGAGGATCAGAATTTCAAAGTCATCCTTGGCTACATAGCAAGTTTAAGGACCATCTGGGATACATGAGACCGTCTCAAAAACAGAAAACAAACAAAAATCCAAAACAGCAACAACAAAAGAAAGAGAGAGAGAGAGAGAGAGAGAGAGAGAGAGAGAGAGAGAGAGAGAGAGAAAGAAAGAAAGAAGGTTTGTTTGGGCTCATGATTTTGGACATTCCAGCCTAAGACCTGGCCTTTAATAGGCACAGCAGATGATCATGGCTAGAAGCATTGGCGGAATGTACTTGTTCATGTCATGCCTTAATGAGGTGTCTGGTATATATTTTTATTTTTAGAATTCTGCAATGTTTTTAGTGCTTTTTACATGTATTTAGTATTAGGATCTGAAGATAAGTATGTATTGTATTTATGAAATATTAAAAATTAATACACTTTTTTTTAGTGGTGCTGGCACTAAGAACTATTTACACCTTATTGTATTGAGTCCCAAAGTGTTTTTTATTTTTTGAGATAAGGTCTCAGTATGTAGCTCAGGCTAACCCTGAACTCAAAGTTCTTTGTACCATCCTCCTGGGGTGCGAAATCATATTTGGCCCAAACTGGCTTTAAACTTAATGTTTCATTGAACAATGTGATAATACAATCGTCTTTCTCTTGTCTTTGGTAACTGATGCAGCCTGATGAAAACAAAGTTGATATGCGGTATGATGCTGAGATTCTGCTCACAAGACAAACACTGTTAGAGATAGAGAAGTTCCTCAGTGGAGAGGAGTGGAAGTCAGGAGCCTTGGATGATGCCTTAAGTGATATTTTAATCAACTTTAAGTGGCATGATTCAGAAGCATGGAAGTGGCGATTTGAAGACTCTTTTGGAGTGGATCCATATAATGCATTTGTGGTAAGATGACATGAGGTGACATAGATGCTTCGTTAAAGAAATACTTCCAAAATACCAGTGTAGTTGAGAATCTATTCTTATTTGCTCATTTCAGTGATGAATAAGCAGTGAAATTGTGCAAATAATTTTGTTTGAGTCTAGTTCTTTGGAGTCTGCTTAAGAATGACATTTCATGTGCGTGATGTGTATGTATGTGAGTATGTGCAGAGGTCAAAGGACAACTTGTGGGGTTTGGTCCTCTGTTTCTACCAAGTGGGTCCTGGGATTAAACTCAACTCATCAGAATTGAGGGTGAGTGCATTAACCTGCTGAGCTGTCTCAATGGCCAAGGCTAGTCTTTTGTTGTTGTTGTTGTTCTTTTTTTCCCCCTTTTTAAACTGATCTTTGGTGTTTTGTTTCTCTGTGGCTTTGGAGGCTGTCCTGGAACTAGCTGTTGTTGACCAGGCTGGTCTCGAACTCACAGAGATCCGCCTGCCTCTGCTTCCGAGTGCTGGAACTAATGAAGTGCGCCACCACTGCCTGGCTGGATTTATTTATTTATTTATTTATTTATTTATTTATTTATTTTTGGTGGGGAAGACCACTTAGCAATGACACTGATTCCCATTTCTGTTTGTAAGGTACTCTTGTGTTTGCTCTGCATTGTGTTGTTGGTGACTACGGAACTATGGACAATTGTTCGCTGGTACACACAGTTGAAACGAATTTTTATCATCAGTTTTCTCTTCAGTTTGGGATGGAATTGGATTTATCTATATAAGGTATTAAATAAGTTTGTTTGTTTGTTTTTTTAGTTAAATGTAAATTCATAGTAACCAGAGACTATAATCCTCTCTTAGAGCAGTCTTACCTCAGATGTGGTTGAAGACAGTGGTTGGATTAGCAGCAATGGAATAAATAAATAATTGGTGATTATCAGCCACATGTGGTTTAGGGAGTCTGATCAGTTAGTGAAGAAAAGCAGTTCTTTTTGTCACCTGCGTACTATTGGCCATCACAGAGCAAAATGGACATTTTAGAAACTCATAATTCAGGAAATGAGCTTTTATTCTGTTAGAAATGTCACCAAAATTATGATAGAAAATGTTATCTCTAAATATTAGGCTTTTTAAATATGAAAGGTAGGTATGTTCACTGTAGAGAAATTAGAAAACAAAGGTACAGGAAAACTAATTTTTAAAACTCACATTAATCTTATTACCTATTATAAGATTAATTATTAAATTTGTTAAATTAATTAATTTAACAAAAAATTGTTGAATTTTTATCTATTTTTTTTAAAGATTTTATTTATTTATTATGTATACAGTGCTCTGTCTGCATGCCAGAAGAGGGCACCAGGTTTCATTACAGATGGTTGTGAGCCACCATGTGGTTTCTGGGAATTGAACTCAGGACCTCTGGAAGAGCAGTCAGTGCTCTTAACCTCTGAGCCATCTCTCCAGCCCAAATTTTTATCTATTTTTACTTTTTTGAGAGAGGGTCTCGATATGTAGACTAGGTTAACCTTGAACTCAGAGCTCTGCCTGCCTTGAATGTACTGGGATTAAGGACATGGCCTATTGATGTTTTTTAGGTTTTTTTTTTTTTTTAATTTTTCCAGCATTTTAATCATCTTTCAAAATTGGGATAAGATTGTAGAAATTTAAAAGGACTGTTGTTAACAGGATAGTCTAATCACGGAAGGGACATTTTAACTTAGTCTTCCTGACAAGGTGGGTCAGGATTTCAGTGAATTTCTGATGAAAATATATTATATTCCCTTTAGCCTTTGCGCTGGTTTATGTGGTTCTGAAACAAACCACTTACACATTAAGCACATAGGTCTTGATGGAGTGTTGATTGCTTTAGTGAGTTCCCCTGGGTATGTGGTTTTAGGAAAACTGTACTCCAGCCCCTAGATGAAAAAGAGGCTCGGGTCTGGAAACACTGCCTTACACATAGCACTGCAGCTGGGCAGTGGTGGCGCACGCCTTTAATCCCAGCACTTGGGAGGCAGAGTTCGAGATCAGCCTGGTCTACAAGAGCTAGTTCCAGGTCAGCCGCCAAAGCCCCAGAGAAACCCTATCTCAAAAAAAAAAACCAAAAACAAAACAAAACAAAAAAAATGTTGTTTTTCTTAATTAGGGCCAGATATAGTGGTGTGGGTCTTTAATCCCAGCATTAGTGAGGCTAAGGCAGGACGACAGCCTGGTCTACAGAGTGAGTTTCAGGCCAGCTAGTGAGATCCTGTCTCAAAAAACTTAATCTTAAAAACAAACAAACAAACAAACAAAAAACAAAGTCTTGCTTGGATAAATGATAGAATGTAGAAATAAACTTTGTTGGATTTTCGCCAGGCATTGGTGGTGCATGTCTTTAATCCTAGCACTCAGGAGACAGAGGCTGTTGGATTTTTTTGTTGTTGTTGTTGGATTTGCAAGCCAAGCCTTCATTGTCCGTTTTCTTTCCTGCCTTCTTTTGTTCTGGTCAGGTAGCTTTTGCTCAGCATCAGGCTGGCATTGCGAAGATGGCAACACAAACAGATAGTGTGTGTGTTGAGAAGATGGATTGGACTGGAAGTCTCTGGGGTAAGGTGTCTGTTTGTTTGTCGGTATGCAAAGTAGAATTCTTAGACGAAGGGAAAAAACAAAATCCACCAGTAATGACCAAATGGTGGAATACCAGTGGAGGCTTCTCATGAGTGTCCTTAATGTGAGAAGAACATGTATGCTAGGGCTGGGGAGGTAACCCAGACACTCACAGGCTTGAGCCAAGCTTCAGCATCTTAGCAATACCCTGTCTCAAGATAAAAGGGATGGGCTATCACTCTGTGTTAGAATCTTACCTACCTTGTGAAATACCCAGGTTTTACTCCCTTTTCAAAAACAAACAAACAGATGAAGCAAAGAAAGCATACCTTCTTACGTTTAAACAGTAGTGACTTACTGAGCTCACCTAAAGTCACAGGAAAGACAGCAGCCATGTGTTTGTGGTTTGGATGTTTTCAGTCTTCCGCATTAGACTGCAGGATCCTAGGCTCCCTTTTCATTACCTACCCCATAGCATTTTCTAGATATAATAGCAGCTATTTAGCTTTCGTCTCCAGATTCTACAGTTCAGTTTCGTTTTTTTAACTAAGTGAAAATTTATTTTTTTATCCTTCCAGATTTTGCAAAAATTCTCACTAGTACTGACCACTGTAACTGTCGAAATCTAGACTGGAATGGTTTAATGTTGAAAGGCTCTGTCTGTATAAACACAAGTCTGTAGTGACTGACACAGAATAGATTCTCAGTAGATTCTATAAGTAGGTCCCAGAATTAACTTACTATAATATATACATATATGCATATGTATTTTATGTGTTTCATGTTTTGTCTGCATGTATTTTTGTGCACCACATGTGTGCCTGGTGCTCAAGGAGGTCAGAAGACGGCATCAGATCCCCTGGAACTGGAGTTAATGGATGGTGAACGGCCATGTGGGTGCTGGGAACTGAATCTGGTATTATGTAAGAGCTACAAGTACTCTTAACCACTGAGCCATCTCCAGCCCTCTGTTGTCCCCTTTTTTAAGTTGTGGAATTAGACCAGTTCATCAGCTTGGGTTCTGGTTTCAGGAGACAACATGCCTCCTCTAGTGCAGACCAGTTTCCAAATGTGCATAAGGCTGCCTCAGAAAAACTTCAGGAGACAACATGCCTCCTCTAGTGCAGACCAGTTTCCAAATGTGCATGAGAGAGACTATTCTGTCTTAAGAGTTTTGTCAGAGGTGACTTTTTTTTTTTGAGACAGGTTTGAATGGATTTTGAAAATATGATTTTAGACTTGATATTAAATAATTAACATTACATAGAGTGGGCAAGGATAGTCAAAACCAAAGTAATCTTATTTGTGAAATAAATACAACTTTGTTTTTCCTTAATTGATTGTCTGTTTCTCTATGTAGAATGGTTTAGAAGTTCATGGACCTATGAGGATGACCCATGCCAAAAGTATTATGAGCTCTTATTAGTCAATCCGATTTGGTTCGTTCCACCAACAAAGGTATAGTGTATTTTGTAATAATTACAGTATCATAAATTCATTGCCTTTATAAAAGATTGATAGGGTTAATAATAAACCTTTGTCCTAGGAAAAAATACTTCCATTAAACATTGGTCTTCAAATTGAGATGGTCATGGAGTTGTACCTATCAATCCTAGCATTTGGGAAACAGAGGTGGGAGGGTAGAGTTCAAGGCCTGATTATGGTATAGTTTGAGCTATATGAGAGCCCCACTCTCAAAACAATACACAGAAATGTGCATTTAATTTGTGTAATTTGAGCCTGAGAGCACAGTGAAGTTTTACATGTGGATGTCTGTCTTTTGAAGTTAATTTCCTCTGATCTTTGGTTTTAGGCTCTGGCAATTACATTCACTAACTTTGTAACAGAACCATTAAAGCACATTGGAAAAGCAACTGGTGAATTCATTGAAGCACTCATGAAGGAGATTCCAGTGTTACTGCAGATTCCGGTGCTGGTGATTATGGCATTGGCTGTCCTGGTTAGTACATTAGCCTAGTTGCTGATAATTAACAAGATTGTGACATATAAAAAAGAAGGCAATTTTAAAACCATTAGATGTCTTTGGATTAATATACTGTGCTAAGAGGTATAAGGTGATTTTTAATGAGTTGAGATTTTATATATTCCTCTAATTGGTAGTTCTTGTGTTTGTAGGCACCATAGTAATGATTTAGAATAATTTCTTTTTAACTTTAACTTGAATACACAGGAAATTGGTTGATTTCGTCCTCTGTAGAGAAATGAGGCTTTATTCCAATCTGAGTTTTGCAGCAGAAAGGGGTGTAGGAGGAGTGGGTATGCATGCTGAAAAGCAGTTGTGTGTGTGTGTGTGTGGGGGGTGTCCAAGAGTAAATGTTTATTAAAAATATTGCTCGTAGTTCTCCCACAGTTGGTTCAGCATCTTGTTTATGGCCAAGACCTTCCCAAAGCACTTGTTGTCTGAATATAAAAATGAAGACTCCCCAGCAATTTGGAATTACAGTGCTTTATGCACTGATGAAATTGTTCTCTTTTGGGTTTTGTCTTGGTGCATGGTTGATTATGAGATTCAGTGGTTAATAGTTTTCATCATTTGCCCTATCTGAGTGTGAATAGAAACATAAGCAATGACCAGGCTTTTAAATTTATATTTCTAGAATTTTCTAATTTAAATGTCTAGATCTAAAAATACTCTTGTTATGAATTCAAAGTGTTTCAAACTGATTGAAATGTTTATGTACTATTGAGTTATTTAGTACATTTTATTGACTACTTTGACCTCTGAGTTTTTAATTAAAGAGTGAAATTAATAGTTTTTTTTTTTTATCCACAAATACTAAAATGATTTTGTTAAATCCTGAATAAAATAGCTCCTCCTTCATTACCTGTCAGTCACTAATTCCTCAGAATGCATTTCATTTCTTCACAGAGCTTCTGCTATGGTGCTGGAATGTCAGTTCCCATGCTGAGATATGTTGGTGGTCCTGAAAGAGAACCTCCCCGGGCACTTGAACCAGGTGACAGAAGATGGCAGAAGGAACTTGACTGTAGACTCTGTGGAGGAGCAGGTGATGCAGATTTCTCTTATATGGGCCAAGCTGGCTCCATTGAGCAAGGCCCTTATGACAAAACGCATGCGTGTAAAAGAGATGTTTTGAGACAGAGAGACGTTGATGCGAGATTTCACACTGGCAACAAGAGCCCTGAAGTGCTCCGGGCATTTGATTTACCTGACACAGAGGCACAAGAGCATCCAGAAGTGGTTCCCAGCGTAAGTCAGCAATTGTTTACTTTGCTGCCTGCTCACTCTAGGCCCAAGACCTTCTTACAGAGATTTGTGTTTATTCTTTACCTTCTGTCAAGTCCCTAGTAGCAGGATTAGTTATCCTCTTTAGTTTTTTGTCACCAGCCCAGCATCCTCAAAAAATGAGATTTACTTTTTATGTTAAATACCATTTAGCTGTATTCTTTACAACAGATGGTAGGTATTTCCTATGAAAATGAGCAGGAAGCCAGCAAGTGAGAATGAAATTTCTGCTTTGACAAGATCAGAGAGAAGGCCTCACTGAGGGCCTAAAAGAGTGCTAGGGGACTGGCTGCAGAGCTCTGATGGCCCAGCCTGGAAAAAAAGGGTTGGACAGGGATCAGAACCCGGCTTTCCCCTTCTCTGAAAAGAATCCCTATCACTTTTTAGTGTAGAAGAAAGTAATAGCATGGTTGGCTAGACTGGACTTTTAACCTGCAAGATAATGAGTTTTTCAGTATTGATTTTTGTTTATCAGCAGTCCTGGGCATTGAACCTGGGGTCTCACACATGCTAGGCCACTGAACTACATTTTGTAGTATCACTTTCGGTTTATTTTAAAGGGACATTTCCTTTCTGCCCGAGATAGGAATTGGTATTGTCATTTGTAATGTTTAACTAGAAACTTTTGAGAAAGCTCAAAGTACTAGAGACTCTAGAAATGACAGGAATCTGAGTTCTTTTTGTGAGTGTTAACATAGCTAGATAGCTGTTGATCACCCGTCATTCTGAACCCCTCTAAAGCTGTCTACCCTAGTGGTCCTGTGAACTCCCTGCTCTGCCATGCCTTACATGTACCACCTTCCTGATCATCATCTACTCTCCTCTATGCTTGTTCCACCTTGGTGATGGGGGCATCTGTTTTTGTTGTTCACTGTCCAAAATGCTGTGCGCAAATGCCTGCTCATGAGCACAAAATCTTCAGACTTTACTCATATCATCTTATCTTCCATCTGATCATAATCTAGCTAGCACCTACCTCATTTTTTTCTATGTAGTGTGTACTTCATACTTCATACAGTATGCTGTATGATTCATTCCCACACTTAAGTGTGGGTTCTTGTGGGAGCTATTTGTGTTTTGCTCCTTTATTCAGCACCTAGAACTTAAAACAAGCTCAATAGCCATGAAGTGATTGTTCTCACCAGGTGGGGAGAGACAGCATTCATTACTGGTAGTCAATCCTCTAGACCTCTCCTAAACAGAGTCAGTAAACCACCTATGTGTCCCCATTTCTTCACCTACAGTTCTGTGAGGCTTAGTGTTTTAATTATGATGCGGCTCTAGAAACAGGATTTTAAAATGTTTGGAGCATACTATAATAGATTTGGGTAAGAATTGGCAATGAAACCTTTTATATTTTATTAAATTTGTGTATTTTAAAGCATAAATCATCCAGCATGAATACAAATCTCAAAGAAATTGGTGAACTCCCAGGAGAAAGCACCCCAACAGAACACAGCTCGTCTGCCACGGCTGTCTCTGGCCAAGCTGCAGGGACTGCGGAAGGCTCCCCCATAAAGAAGGTCCCGCTGAAGCTAGACTCTGAGTGCAGCCTACAGGGAGGCACCACACACAGCCCAGGAGCTGCAGTATGTGGGACTGATCCTGTCAGCAGCCCGTGTGGCTAAGGAACATGAAATCATCTTTGAAGTCTGTAACGTATTAACTCTTCATTCTTCCCTAAAAATATATTGAAATTTACTACAAAGCTGCCAGCCTTACATTAATAATTTTACAGACCATCAATCTCTTAGCTATTAAGAAGATGTGTCTCATAATTTTAGACAGGGTTGTGTACATGTTTAGATGATGCTATGCCAAAATAAACTGTAATTAAGGTGACTGAATGACAGTGATGAAATGATTTTGTTAACAGGTATTTAGAAGAACCAATTAGTGTATGTTAGCTGGTAGAAGGTCCTGTGAGACCTAGTTTACTAACAGAATAATTGGTTGGTTTTAACTTAAATTCAGTGTTTCCATTGCAAAGGCTGTATAATGCAGGCTGCTAACTGCTGCAGCAATGTTCTAGGTAGGCCACCTGCTAAACAATGTGACTTTCTGGTTGCCAGGCCTGCTTCCTTGTTACACATTTTATATTAGATCTCACTAGACAAACCTGAGGCTGGCCTGGTTCTATCAATATTTCAGTGTCACCCTTCATCAGTGACTTTGAGGATGGCTTTATTCTCTACCACAAGGTGCTGCTGGATTTTCAAAGAGCCAATTTCCATATTCAGAACCCAGCAGTTGATGCTATATGGTTTTTATTGTGGCAAACCATATTGTCTTGGCTGAGTGTAATTCTGGTTTTCAGAGAGCTATAGATAGAGAACTAAGATGTATTTACTGTGGACAGATTGTCAATCAACATTTTTTTTGTGATTTTTAAAATGCAATCTCCATTTTAAACCTTTAAAAAAACCAATTTATATATTTCTTACAAGTCCCTGGTTAGCAGTTTTTCTATGCACTCAGGTGTCCTTTGTTGTAACCATATCTGTACTGCACATTTTATTCAGCTGCTTTCCAAACAATGATACCACTCGAGAATTAAGTCTTGAAATTATCAGTTAGGCTTTCTTTTCGCAGACGTGTGCTATTCCCCCATTTTTTATACTTGGGTATCTGAAAGACTTATTTTATCATTGTAAATGTCCATAGTATTTTATCAGGAAGGTAAAAATTCCCCCTTCAAAACAGAAGGATTTTACATTAATACATTACTATAGCAGACATGTAATGAATGGATGCATACAGTTTATTTAGGTTCTGAACATCTGTGCATAGAAGCAGTTATCTCTATGGACTGGACCCATTCACCCTAACTGGACCCATTCCCAAGGTGGGAACTGACCTTTAAGCACTGGTCTAATTCTGACGAGAAATATCTCCGTCCCTGAGAGGAAAGGCAGTACTATTGCACTACTGGTTGCTTTTAATCCAAAAGTGAACACTTTTGTATTTTTTCATTACAGATACCCATTTGGGAATGGAATCTACTTTGACAGCTAGCAAAGCAACATGCTGTTCTTGAATGATTACAGCAATTCAGGGAAGACTTGATTAAAAACAAGGTGGATATATCAAGGCCAGTTTATTGCAGAAAAGAGAAGGCTTGTTTCAGTTGACTAGCAAGTATTTGTCATTGAGGTTAAAGCATATTGTAACTGGCTTTTAAGAAAATAAGAACAGGGTAGGTAGCTGTTAAAAGTACTTTTTAAAATGGAATAATGTTGAATGCTTATAGGGTCTTAACACTATAAACACAAAATAAACACTTATTTTTACAGTATTTTGATCTAGCACGAAGTCTTTGCTTTCTTAATGAATTTTCTTCTAAGAAAAATGTCTGCCCCAAATGCACGCCAGAAGATCATTGTCTTGTAAACTCATGTTACTAACGAGGAATGAGGGCCTAACCAATGTCCTTTGTACTTATGTGAATTTTCATGTGTTTTCTGCTTGTATAGTTTGTGTTTTTGACAAGTCAAACCACATGATTTTCTGGTTTTTCACAATAGTAAGTCTAATATAGTATTATTGTGTGTAATAAGAGACAAATAGCCCAAAGCATGCTAAAAGTAGTTTATTTCTTATCTCTCCCACTGGCTTTGCCTAAAAATATATTGAATATAGTTTTCTTAGAGAAACTAGAATTTTATGACTATTTTTCACCTTTTTTTACATAGGACATTTACATTATTTTTCAATAAGCAAGGCAATCCACTATATTCAAGGGTAAGTATAAAAAAGTCATTGTCAACCAGATCCTTAGAAAAATGACCTCAGTAAGAGGACTGAATTCTAATGTAGGGTTCATTTAAATTCCTAGTTCATAAACACTAGTCAAGGAATCTAAGGGTAAGTTGCTGGAGCACCTACAGGACATTCTGCCCTGAAACAAGCATGTCAGCCCCTGAGTACCTCAGCATTTACACCTAAAACCTGGTAACTACTACAGTGCTGGATAGTTTCCTCCTTTAGAAAAGGTTGAATTTTTCTGCAGTGTTCCAAAGGGAACTAGTCTTTAGCAGGAAATACCACAGCTTCTAGTGGTTTGCTAGTTACTTTCCTGAATGCTTAAATTCCAACAAAGCATTGTTTTGCAAAAGTTCCTTTAGTCCAAGCTCAGTGTCTCTGTTTGGATCTCTCTGCAAAAGAACTCTTTGTTCATCCATTCTTTTAGCTTGAGAGCGTAAAATAAGGCTAAAAAAGTCTTCATCAGGGACGGTTGGCCCCTTTGTGGTGGCAGGTGGTGGAGCACATCTTTGATCATCTAATCTGGACCCCTAAAGATGGAGAGAAATTGACACATAATGACCAGGAAGGACAGGGCCAAGCTGCAACGTCTGTCAGTCACAAGATAGAGCTATAAGCATTTCTTTTGGCCTGTTTCAACTCGATAGAATGAGAATGTAGTATTATGTAGAAATGGGTTGCATACATATACTACACTTGGTCACAAGTAATCTGACACTACAGTGCAAGGGCAACAGCCCAGTCTTTACAGGGGTTTGTATCTAACATTTCTAGAATGACCTAGGCCAAGGGTCAACAAACTATAGTCACTAGATTACATTTTTGAAATATACTCTTGTGCCTGCTTTGGAAGCTATTTGCATAAATGGTCTAAATGGCAATCCAGAAGGGTTTTATCTATCCAACTGTATACAAAACAGATGTCTCCCAGTCACTGACCATCCATTGCCCCTTCATCATCTTCTGTCTGTCTCTGGTACAATGTACACACTTGCCCTCTGTCTTCCCACTAAAATGCAGGACCCTGCAAAAGCAAGAGCATCCTTGCTATCCCAAATTGTACCTGTAACATGAGTAGTGTTCCATGGTGTTCTGAATGTAGACAGGTAAATAATAATGGCCTGATCACAATGAGCCTTTCAAGAATTTGAATTCTGCCAGAGCTGCCCTAGCCATTCTACAGATGGAATGTGTGTACACTTACTTGACACTTTACAAGGATGTCAAAGAAGTCTTCATCAGGCTCTTTCTTGTCATTTGTCATCAGGTGCTCAAGTACAGACTGATTGTTGTTTTTTGTCAGACGGAGCCCTGGCAAATTACTGAAACTGGCCCTTTGGTCATCCAGACGGCGGCTCTGTGAGCTGGCAAGAAGATCTAAAAACTCATCTGTGTTGGGGGATACCACAGGAACAGACGGTGCTATGGACAGTTGGGAAAGAAAGCAATCTGTTAAACACATGCTGAAACACCCGTGTGCATACCATTCTTCTCCACCTTGCTCTCCTGCAGGGCACTGCCACTGCTGTGGGCAGGCTGGGAAGGATGGGCGGGCTCCCTGGTGCATACAGACTGCTCCTCCTGTATCTAGTGCTCCCCCCAAATAACTGAGGTGTGGGGCTGGATTTCAGAAGATGGACAAATGGCGTTTTTTTTTTTTTTTTTTTTT